CTCCGCGGCCCGGCCCGCAGCGGAGCGGAGCGGAGGGGAACGGCCCGGAGCGGCCACGCAGCGCCCGGTGAGTGCCGGGCTCGGGGCGGCGCGGCGCGGCTCGGCTCGGCTCGGCTCGGCTCGGCGCGGTCCCGTTCGGCTCGGGGCAGCACGGCTCGGTTCTGTTGGGCTCGGGGCAGCCCGGCCCGGGGCAGCCCGGCACAGTTCCGTTCGTCCCGGCGCGGTTCCGCTCGGCTCGGGGTATCCCGGGGCGGCTCGGTTCGGCTCGGCGCGGTTCCACTTGGCTCGGGGCAGCCCGGCGCGGTTCCGTTCAGCTCGGCGCGGCTCGGTTCTGCCCGGCGCGGTTCCGTTCGGCCCGGCCCGGTTCCACTCGGCTCAGGGCATCCCGGCGCGGCTCGGTTCTGCCCAGCGCGGTTCCGTTCGGCCCGGGGCAGCGCGGCACGGTTCCGCTCGGCCCGGCGCGCCTCGGGACGGCCCGTTACGCTGCGTGCCGGGACGGTGCCGCCCGCGGGCAGAGGGATGTGGGCAGGCACGGCGGCAGCGCCCGGGGCCGGGGGATCGACGCCGTCCCCGGGGGGCTGCCCGGGCTCCCCTTCCCGGTCCCCTCCCCTTCCCGGTCCTGCGGCAGCGCTCCCCGGCACTGGAGCTCTTCTGGAAGAGGTTCCACGCGGCTGCCTCTCCCACCGCCTCCGGCTGCGGGCTGGGACGCGGAGCAGAGCGGAGCAGTGCCAGCAGTGCTGGGGCCTCCGCCCACGTGCCCCACGCTCCCGGCCTCACCTGGATAAACTTCCTCCGGGATAAACTTCCTCCCTTCCTTCGGCAGATACGATGGTGCCCCCGCCACGGGGCAGCCTGGAGCTGCTGGGCGCCGAGCGCCGGCGCTGACCACGGGCTGCCCAGAGCTGCTCTGGACCATGGGACTGAGCCCGGGCGCCCGCTGCTTCTTCCTGGTGCTGGCCCTGGCCCCGGGACCCGCCGGCGCCTGGCAGTGCCCCCGCATCCCCCTCAGCTCCACCAGGAACTTCTCCGTGACCTACCCGCTGCCGGGCCTCGACGCCGGCAGCCCCGTGCAGAATGTCGCCGTCTTCACCGACCCGACCGGCGCGGCTGCTGTCTTCGTGGCCGTCCGCAACCGCATCCTGGTGGCCAGCGCCGAGCTGCAGCTCCTCTCCGTGCTGGTCACGGGCCCCGTGGGCAGCGCCCGCTGCGAGATCTGCAGCCTGTGCCCGGCGGCGGACGCACCGGGCCTCGCCGACACCGACAACGTCATCCTGCAGCTTGACCCGCTGGAGCCCTGGCTCTACAGCTGTGGCACGGCCCAGCACGGCCTGTGCTACCAGCACGAGCTGGAGGTGCGCGACGGCGAGGTGGCCATTGCCGCCACGCGCTGCCTCTACTCGGCCGGGCGCAACGGCCCCGCCGGCTGCCCGGACTGCGTGGCCAGCCCCTTGGGCACCAGCGCCACCGTGGTGGCCGACCGCTACGCCTCCTTCTTCTACCTGGCCTCCACCATCAACAGCAGCGTGGCGGCGCGCTACAGCCCCCAGTCGGTGTCCATCCGCCGGCTGAAGGCCACCTTGGACGGCTTCGCGGACGGCCACCACTCGCTCACGGTGCGGCCGCCTTACCAGGACTCCTACCCCATCCACTACGTGCACTCCTTCAGCGACGGCGACTACGTCTACTTCTTGACGGTGCAGCGCGAGAGCCCCCTGGCCAGGAGCTACCACACGCGGCTGGCCCGCCTGAGCACCCAGGAGCAGGACCTGCGGCGCTACCGCGAGCTCGTCCTCGACTGCCGCTACGAGTCCAAGCGGCGGCGGCGGCGGCGCGACGCCGAGGCCGGGGCCGAGCGCGATGTGGCCTACAACGTGCTGCAGGCGGCCCACGCCGCCCGCCCCGGCGCCCGGCTGGCCCGCGACCTCAGCATCAACGCCACGGAGCTGGTGCTCTTCGGCGCCTTCGCCGAGAGCCGCGCCGAGAGCCGGGCGCCGCGGGACTACTCGGCCGTGTGCGCCTTCCCCCTCCGCCTGCTCAACCGGGCCATCGAGGACGGCATGGACAAGTGCTGCGGGCTGAGCGCGCGGCCGCTGCTGCGCGGGCTCAGCTTCTACCAGCCCGAGGAGTACTGCCCGCACAACGTGAGTCTTGGCGTGCCCGCCGCGGCAGGCAGGGAACTGGGGAGGAGGGTGGCGTTCGGCGGCCAAGTGCGCTTGAGCCAGGGGCAGGGGCTTCGCTCACTGTTTGCCCTGCAAAAAGAGGAAATTTTGGTGAATTTAGTGAAAGAGCCTTTGGGAAATGGGTAGGGGTGCTCGATTGAAGGGCAGGGCTGCAAAAAGGCTGGTGGTCCCCAAGCACTCAAGCCCAAGAGGAGGGGAAGGGCACGACGCGGCCAGCTGAGTTGTGTGCCCGTTGGCGGGCGTCACGGTCGCTGCTTCCGGGGCTCTGGCCCGGGTGTCTCAGCGCCGCGGGGCTCACGGGAGACGGAAGCGGTTGGGGATCCCGGGAATCACTCGATAAACTGGGTGTCTCCAAGCTGAGGGGAGAGGCCACGTGGCAGAGGTGCCGGGCGCGCTGAGTCAAGGGCGCGCGGCTCCCGGCGCTCTGCCCGCGCTCGCCGCGCTCTGGCCGTGCCGCCGAGCGCCGCGGCCCCTTATCGCTGCCGTCCCGGAGCGCGGCCGCCCCTGTGCCCGCGCCTCCGCCTGGCCGATAACCCCACGCCGGCGCCGCTCGCCTTTCTGACGGCTCCGGAGTCCAAAAGTCTCCTTGCTCGGCGGGCGGCTCCCGTGACGCCGCGTTTCCCCGGCGGATCCGGCAGCCTCGGGACACTCATTAACCCGTTTCCCTGCTGCTTGGCAAGCCGGGACGGATCCGGGGCACTCCCGGGGGCAATCCCGGCCGTGTCACTCCCTATAGCTTGGAACCGGCCGCGCAGTCTGTGTGCACGGGGCCCCGGTGGAGCCGGCCCCGAGCGGACACCGAGCTCCAGGGCACCCACAGACCCATACGGGGGTGTGTGGCCCGCGGCACGAGCCGGATCCGGCCTTGGCTCCGTGCCCGATGGATGCGTCCACCCAAGGAGTGGGGACGCCGTGGGGACGTCCCGCACTCCCAGGGCCCCCCTTTGGCCCGTGTCCCTCCCGCTCTTTCCGGCCACCCTCTTGAGCTTGTTTATGCATGGGGGACGTGAGGGAGACGCGAGCGTCCCGGAGAGCGCGCGGGGCCGGGCCGCGGCCTCACGGCGCCCCGGGGCTGGTGTGGGGAGCTCCCGCCGGCGCCGCTCGCCCCGATGGGTGCGCGAGGGCACCCGGCCTCTCCGCCCGCCGGGGATCGCCCGGCCGGCCCCGGGGCTGCCGCTTTCTCACCGCGAGGAAACCACAGGCGGAAGCACCATGAGTCACCCAGGGCCGTAGCCCAGCCGGAGCCCCGGCTCCCCGGCGAAGGGTGGGGACAGCCCTCGGCGGGGGTGGCATCCCCAGTAACGGAGGCACCTGGGAAGCCCCCGTAGACAGGGCCAGTCCTGCCCAGCCCCGGGCGGTCCCCACGGGAGCCGTGCCCAGCAGGGGCGGTGACTCCAGGTGAGCCATTGCCACCTCTCCCGTTGCCACCTCTCCCTTCTCCGGAGCGGAGCTGCTGCTGCAGGGATGGCCCGTGCCTGGGCAGGAACCGCGCCGGGGGCTGCCCTGGCTTGCCAGGCCCCACCATGGGCTCGGAAAGCAGCCAGGGCAGCCACGACCCGGCTCGCCCCATGGCCGGCTCAGCGCTGCCAACTGCATCCCAAGGTCCACGAGGAGTCAGGGAAGCAGCGGCTTCGGTGCACAAGCGCCCAGCCCCAGGGTGGCCCTCGAGTGGCTCCCATGGGGCTTGGGTGACTTTGGTTGGTGCCCGCTCTGGGGGTGGGCACACGCTGGCCCCACGGGCACCGTCACCACGGGGCCGCCTTCGAGGCCTCTCGTTCCCCGCCGCAGGTGAACCTCTCGGCGCCCGTGGTGGACACCAGCTGCTGGGAGCAGCCCACGCTGGTCCCGGCCACCTCGCACAAGGTGGACCTCTTCAACGGGCGCCTGGCCGGCGTCCTCCTCACCTCCATCTTCGTCACGGCCCTGGGCAACGTCACCGTGGCCCACCTGGGCACGGCCGAGGGCCGCGTCTTGCAGGTAGCCGCCGCCGCGCGCCGGGCCGGCGCTGAGCTCGGCACCGCTCGGGGCTCAGGCTCTGTGCCCGCCGCAGATGGTGCTCCAGCGCTCCAGCTCCTTCGTGGTCACCTTGGCCAACTTCTCCCTGGGCGAGCGGCAGCCGGTGCAGCGCGCCGTGGGGCTGCAGGGCCACTCGCTGCTCTTTGCCAGCGGCAACGAGGTGGGCGCCGCCGCGGGGCGCGACGTGCCGGCCGCGGGGCGCTGCCGCCCGGCGACACGCGCCCCGGCTCCCCGTCCCCCAGGTGCGCCGCGTGAACGTCACGGGCCCCGGCTGCCGCCACTTCTCCACGTGCCAGCGCTGCCTGCGTGCCGAGCGCTTCATGGGCTGCGGCTGGTGCGGGGCCGCGTGCGCCCGCCGCGAGGAGTGCGCGGGGCGCTGGATCCAGGACCGCTGCCCGCCCGTGCTCACTGACGTAGGTCTGCGCCGCCCGCCCCGGGGCCGTGGCGGGGCCGAGCTCCCCGCTCCAGGGGGTGGGTGGAGAGGGACCCGGTGTGCGGTTGGGCACCCTGCTTAGAGCAGAATCGCTGCTAAACCCGGGGCTTTGCTCTGGCCGGACACCCCCCTCCTGGGGACGTGTCCTTGTGTCCTCCCAAGGACGGAGCTGGACCCAGGTCCAGCCCGGCCCGCGGGCTCTCGCCCTGCTGGGAGGAGTTTGGCTCCATCGCCAGCTCTTGGCTCCCTCCCCGGCCTCCGCAGCCGCCCTTTGAGCAGGTCCCCTGGGCTGGCCGGGGCTCCCTGCGTGTCGCGGCGGTGGCAGCGCGTGGCGCCCGCCGCGACGTGCCCGCCCCCGCCGCAGTTCCACCCCCGGAGCGCCCCGCCGCGCGGCCGCACGCGCCTCACGCTCTGCGGCACCACCTTCCGCTCCCGCCTCGACCCCGACGCCGCCGCCAGCCCCGCCGGCACCTACCGGGTCACCGTGGGACGGCGCCCGTGCCAGGTGCTGCCCGACGAGAGCGGCAGCTACAGGTGGGCCGTGCCCGGGAGTGGGATGCGCCAGGGGGCTGGCCGCTTTGGGGAGCGCGTTTGGGGATGGCTGAGCCAAGCCCGTGCCCACAGGCTGCTGCCCCCGTCGCGCCGCAAGGACTTCGTGGAGGTGCTGGTGTGTGTGCTGCAGCCGGGCGGCGAGGCGCCCGCGGGGCCGGCCCGCGTGCTGCTCAGCGTCGAGGAGCCCGCGGGGCCCACGGGCTTCCGCGTCAGCGGCTCCGCCGCCCTCGACGGCTTCACCTTCGTGGTAGGGCGCCGCGCCGCGGCGGGCGGGGAGGTGGTGCCTTGGCCCTGCCGCCCACCGCCGCCTCTGTGCCCCAGGTGCCCAACGTGAGCTCCGTGCACCCGCCGTTCGGGCCGCGCGGCGGCGGCACCGCCGTCACCCTGCGCGGCGCCAACCTCACGGCGGGCAGCAGCTGGCGGGTGACGCTCAATGGCACCGAGTGCCCTCTGGCTGAGGACCCCAGGTATTGCCATGTAGCCACGGGGCAGCGTGTGCCCGGCCTGCCACGAGGGCAGCGGCTGGGGACCCCCAGTGCCCGTGGGCCAGCGCTGCTGTGTCCCCAGCCAGGGCGACGGTGCCATCCGGTGCGTGGCTCCCCCTGCCCGTGGCCTCGGCGCGGCTTCCGTGCTCCTGTGGATCGACGGGGAGCAGTTCCCGGCTCCGGAGCCCTTCCAGTACCGTCCCGACCCCTCCGTGCTGGCCATCGCCCCCAACTGCAGCTATGAGTGAGCGCTGGCGCCCGGCCCCGGGGACAGCGCCGGGCCCCGGCCTGCAGGGCCTGGAGGCTGCGGCACCCCAGGGTGCTCACCACTGCCCTCGTGCAGGGGCTCCACGCTCACCCTCTTCGGGGAGCACCTGGACTCCGTGTACCGGGCCAAGATCCGCTTCGAGGCCAGCGGCGTGAAGACCGAGGCGCAGGTAAGAGCCGGCACGTCGCGGCACCCGGTGGGGACGCAAGCGGCCTTGATGGCCCGGCGCAGCCCCGGGCGCTCCGTGGCGGCAGCAGCCTCTTGCCCGCAGCTGTGCCAGGCCCCGGGGGCACCCGACCGGCTGCTGTGCCCGAGCCCGGCCTTCCCCTTCGAGAACAAAGTGGAGACGGCGCCCGGGAACCTGAGCGTGCTGCTGGACGGCGCCGCCGGCCGCTGGCTCTTCCGCTTGCGCTACTACCCCCGGCCCGAGATCTTCCCTTTCGAGCATGAGGACAGGCGGTACCGCCTCAAGCCCGGCGACGACGAGATCGAGATCCACGTAAGTAGCGGAGCGGAGCCGGGCCGGCGGCGGGGCCGGGCGCGGCCCCGTTCGGGGAGCCGCGGGCCAAGGGCCGCTCTGTGCACGCAGCAATTCGGGCTGGACGCGCTGGCCACCTGCATGAACATCAGCATGACGGTGGGCGGCCGCGACTGCCACCCCAACGTGCTGAAGAACGAGGTGACCTGCCGGCTGCCGCGGGAGCTGCGCCTGCCCCCGGACGGGGCGCCCGTGCAGGTTGGTGCCCGTTTGCCCCAGGGCCTCCCTAGCTGCCCCATGCCCGCCCTGGGGCACGTCGAGCCTCCCGCTCCCTGCAGATCTGCGTCAACGGGGCCTGCACGGACCTGGGCTTGGTGCTGGCCACCTCCTCGCTGGACCTGATGGCCAGCGTCGTCCTGGGCACCTGCGTCACCTTCCTGGTCCTCGGCGTGCTGCTGCTCGGGCTGCTGAAATGGAAGTGGAAGAAGAAGCGGGGTGAGTGCCCGTGGGCCCTGCTGGCCCCAGCGCCGCTGCCTGCAGCGGGCGCTGCCAGCGTGCGAGCCCTGCGCTCTCGTGCCCGCAGGGACGGAGAACCTGGAGCTGCTGGTGAACCCGGGCAGGACGGAGCCCCCCGCCACCACCCAGCGCCCCGGCGTCGACTACAGGGAGGTGCTGGGTACGCGGGGCCCGGCGGGAGGGCAGGGCGGCCGCCCGGCCCGCTCGGGGGGCACCCCGGGCTCTGACGGGCTCCTCCACCTGCTCCCCCCGGCAGTGGTGCCTGTAGCCCCCAGCCCCGGCCGGGCCAGCCCCCGTGCCCGCTTCACCAGCGCCGGCGCCGCGGCCGGCGGCTCCCCCGTGCCCCTGCTCAGGGCCACGTCCTGCTGCCTGGAGGACCTGCGGCCGGAGCTGCTGGAGGAGGTGAAGGACATCCTCATCCCCGAGGAGCGGCTCGTCACCCACCGGCACCGGGTCATCGGCAAAGGTGCGTGCCCCGCGCCCGGGGGTGCCCGGACGCCTTGCACCCCTTTGCACGGGATGTCCGTTGCCCCAACGGAGGGGTCTCCCGCAGGGCACTTCGGCAGCGTGTACCACGGCACGTACACGGACCCGCTGCTGGGAGCCGTCCACTGCGCCGTCAAGTCCCTGCACCGTGAGCAGCCCCCCTGCCCTCCTCCTCAATAGCCCCTTTGCCCTCCTCACTAGCCCCTCTGCCCTGTTCCTCACTAGCCCCTCTGCCCTCCTCCTCTCTAGCCCCCCTGCCCTCCTCACTAGCCCCTCTGCCCTCCTCCTCCGCGTCCCGCCTGCCCCGGGGCGGCCATCCCGGCTCGCGGCGCCCCACGGCTTCGCCCCTTGACAGGCATCACGGACGTGGAGGAGGTGGAGGAGTTCCTGCGCGAGGGCATCCTCATGAAGAGCTTCCACCACCCGCAAGTGCTGTCGCTCATCGGCGTGTGCCTGCCCCGCCGGGGGCTGCCCCTCGTCGTGCTGCCCTACATGCGCCACGGGGACCTGCGGCACTTCATCCGTGCCCAAGAGCGGGTAGGGCTCCGCAGGGCGTCCCGCTGGCGGAGCCCGACGCCGGGCCGCGCCGGGGCTGGGCGCGGGTGACACGGGGACGGCGCGCGCGCCACCGCTCACCGCCACCGCTCCCTCCAGAGCCCCACGGTGAAGGACCTCATCGGCTTCGGGCTGCAGGTGGCCCTGGGCATGGAGTACCTGGCGCAGAAGAAGTTCGTGCACAGGGACCTGGCTGCCAGGAACTGCATGTGAGTGTTGCTGGGGCTCCACACACCCCTATAGTCCTGGCTTAACCCCATCCCAACGAGCCCGGCCGAGCCCCACTGTGCCCCCCAGGCTGGACGAGACCCTCACGGTGAAGGTGGCCGACTTCGGGCTGGCGCGCGACGTCTTCGACAAGGAGTACTACAGCGTGCGGCAGCACCGCCACGCCAAGCTGCCCGTCAAGTGGATGGCCCTGGAGAGCCTGCAGACGCAGAAGTTCACCACCAAGTCGGACGTGGTAGGCAGGCGCGCCGGGAGCGCCGCGCGGCCCCGCGCGCCCGCGGTCCCACCGCTCCCTCCCGCTTCCCAGTGGTCCTTCGGGGTGCTCGCGTGGGAGCTGCTGACGCGGGGGGCGCCGCCGTACGCTGAGGTGGACCCTTACGACATCACCCGCTACCTGCTGCGCGGGCGGCGGCTGCCGCAGCCCGAGTCCTGCCCCGACGCGCTGTGAGTGGCGCCGGCCGGGCACGCCGCGGGTGCCCCGGTGCCCCGGTGCTGACGGGGGTGTCGCGGCAGGTACGCGGTGATGCTGAGCTGCTGGGCGCCCACGCCCGAGGAGCGACCCACCTTCTCCATGCTGGTGGGCGAGCTGCAGCGCGTGCTGGCCTCGCTCGAGGGCGAGCGCTACGTCAACCTGGCCGTCACCTACGTGAACCTGGAGCGCGGCCCTCCCTTCCCGCCCGTGCCTCGTGCCCGCCGTGGGACGGCTGCCAGCGGGGAGGAGGATGACAGCGAAGGGGAGGAGGAGGAGGATGAAGAGGAGGAAGAGGACATGGCCGAGTGCTAAGGGGAGTGCTCTGTGTCGTGGGGGCTCCCGGACGGGCGCCGCGGGTGCTCTCGCAGCGGGATGGGCACCAGCATACGGCTGGGTGCTGTGGGGCACGCTCCTCAGGGGGCGGAGGTGGGGCACAGCTGGGTCGCTGCCCCGATAGGCTGGGTGCTGGGACACGGCTGGGTGCTGCAGGGCACGGACCCAAGGGGGTGAATGCTGGGACACAGCTGGGTGCCGTGGGGCGCCCTCCCCAGGGCTCACACCACCACCCTGCTGCGGGCTCTGGCACCCCCACGCTTGGCCCCACACCGGCCAGGAGCTGGGTGCCCTGGGGCTCCTGTGCTTGCTCCTCTGCCGGCAGGACCGTGCCGTGGGGCCCGGGGCTGGGCCCCACATGCTGTGCAGCCCTAGGGGCATGTCCGGGTGCTGGGGACGCTGTGGGGCTCGCGGTGCTTGGTGTGTCCAGGACACCCGTGCGCCGCACACAGCCGGCATTCACTTGAGTCACTCATAAAGCCCTAATTATATTTTTTCCCCGTCTCTGCGTGGCGTTTCTGGCCGCGGTCGCACTTGGGCACCCCGTTCCTCGCATAACGTGCACTCCCTGTGCCCCCCACCTCGCCCCCCCATGGGGCAGCCCCTTTGGCGCGGGGAGGGTGACACTGGTGGCACTCGCACCGTTCCCGTGCCAGCCACGGGAGGGCACTTGCAGACCGGCGCTGGCGCCGCCGCCCCCGGGGCTCAGCCCTGGGCAGGCGGCCCAGGGGCACCCGCGGCACCCACAGGTCACCCCTTTCCGCCCAACGGGACACGGGTGCCCTGGGGGCCAGAGGAAAAGCATTTCCAAGGCTGCCCCAGTGCTCTGCTCGCCCCCATGCCGGGTGGCAAGGCCGTGCCCTGTGGGTGATGCCGAGCTGCAGTGGGCGCAGAGCCCCACGGGCTGCTCTGGCCACAAGTGCCACCAGCTGGGCCACTACCTGGGGAGGCTCGCGGCCGCCGCCGAGAGCTGCTGTCGCGTTGGATAACAGCCTTTAAAACAGCTTAATCGGCGGCTAAATATAGCCCCGCAGCTCCCTGCTAACCGGGGAGCTGCTCCAGGCAACGACGCCGGGCGCTGCCTCCCGGGGCCGGTTGGCAATGCACGTGTTGCGCGACCCCACAGCTCGCCCCTCGCACCCACAGCCTGGGCCCCATGCGCTGGGGTCCCTGTGTCCCGCGGGGGTGGGACGTGGAGCCCCCCCCAGGCTCCACTCTCCTGCTTCAGGATCTGGGAAGCCTGAGGTCCAGATGCCTGGCAAGGCGGGATCTTGTTCTGCAGCCTGTGGTGGGGCAGGACCTTGGCCCTGGGTGTGGGGTCAGGGGATCCCACCTGGGATCACGGTGCCCATGGAATTGGGGAATTGGGGGAATATGGGATCCTGGTGCCCATGCAGGTTGCTGTGCCCAGGGTATGGGATGACGGTGCCCCTGGCACTACAGTACCCGGCAGTTTGTTGTCCCTGGGATCACAGTGCCCATGCCACGGGATCACAGCTCCCCTGGGGTTTGGTGCCCACAGGACTGCGATGCTCATGAGGCTGCAGCGCTGCCGGCATCACGGTGCCCAGCACATGGAATAGCGGTGCCCATGGGGTTGTGATGCCCAGGTCTTGAGATCGCGGTGCCCATGGGACCGTGGTGCACAGAATGTGGGATCATGGTGCCCATGGCATGGCAGTGCCTATGGTGTTGGGAGGCCCAGGGCATGGAATGGCGGTGCTCATAGTGTCACAGCTCCCGGAGCATGGGATCACCCATGGGAGCAGGCGCAAACCCCATGTCCAGCACCCGCTGTACCCAAGCACGATCTGCCCCGTTTGCTCTGCAGCCCCTTCCCAGCTTGCCCAGTCCTGCTCGGGGTTCCTTTCCTGGGTCTCCTCCTCACTCGGGGCTGGTGGAGAGGAGCCACCTGTCCTTCCACCCATGCACGAGGGTTTCTTTATATCCCAAGTGTGGGGACTTGGTGCTTTTGCACATGCCCAGGGGAATGTGGCTGAGAAACCCGGTGAGTTTTGATGCTGCGGAAATCAACCTCCTGGCTCCTTTCGCTTGCGGTGGTGGGAAAACAGCAGGTTTCTGATGAGATCCCCCAATGGGAAGGTCTGAAAACGCTGGGGCACCTTCCCAGCCTGAGCTCCAGCAATGAGGTGGGAAAAAATCTCCCGGGAGACACCAGGGATGAGACATGGGAACCGATGAGGGGGATCGCAGCAGGTATCATCCCCTTAGCTTCCCAGGGCTCTGGGACCGGCTTTGGTGCCTCACTGCATGGATGGGCAGGAAAAGCTCTGGGCAAGCCCAGGACATTCCTGGCGGGGGGGGACATGGCGTCCGCAGCGCTGGTGCCGGAGCGAATCCCGGTGCCGGCGCGAATCCCAGCGCCTTGGCCGCGAGGGTGCTGCGGGCGTCCGCAGCGTGGCGAGCGCTGCAGGCTCCCGCGGCCGGCCCGGCCGGGTCCAACCTGCAGCCGCTTCTTGCCTTAAATAAAATCCGGGCAGCTCATTAAGTGGCGCCGGACCCCGGAGAGCTGTCAGCTCCCATCAGGGAAGCTGTCCGTCTCCGCCGGGCGCTTCGCACCAGCACGGCTCCCAGCTCCCGGCTTTTTTTAGCTCCGGCACCTTGGCCCGGCCGCCCGGCACGGGGCTCGGGCTTGAGGTGGTGGCGACCCGGCGGTGAGCGCCACGGGCCTGGATTTGGGGACTCGGCCTCCCCACCGCATCCCCACCGCATCCCACTTGGGAGCGGGGGGAGCAGCCGAGGGCTCCCCGAGTTGCTGTGGCAACGGGAAGCGGCCTCGCGCGCCGCGCGGGTAGGATGGGCTGAATCAGAAGCGCCAGCGGCTCCCGAAGCGGGGCTGGCAGCTCCTGAAGCGGGGCCGGCGCCCCGGAGCCGGCAGCAGCAGGACTGGCGCTCCGGGCCGGCTGCACGCAGGGGCAGACGGACGGACGGACGGAGCATGGACGGGCTCCCGGTTGGCACACGAGTGCAGCTGGACCGGCCCCCCGCTCTGGCACCCTTCCAGCCGGGGCTTTCGGTGCCTCCTTTCCGGGCACTGCGTGCCAGGGTCCGAACTACTTGAAGCCAGATGAGACCGTTAGCCTGCCCGGCACCACGAGGGCCTCCGCGCTGGGCTGCCTTCCTCCCCCCCATCTCTAAAAATGCCTGCGGAGATGACAGATTTTCTTCCTAATAAGCATTTATCCTGCCATAATTACACTGCAGGCGACGAGGAGCAAACGCCCCGCATTGAAAGCAGGGGCTGCTGGGCGGCCGCCCCCGTCAGCCCCGCACCCTCGGCGGCCCCGTCACCATTGCCTGGTGTCACCATTGCACAGCCACCGAGCTGGGGCCCCGGGGCGCTCCGGGTGGGCCCACCTGCCGCAGCTCTAAATGTTTCATTTGGGGAAAGTGCTGCCATTAGCAGGGATTAATTATTGAGAGCGGGCGCGATCTATAAAACATGAGGGGCCACGCGGGGTGGCCACCGCCATCGCTTGAGGGGTGCTGCAGGCAGCTCCTTCATGGCAATCAAGGGAGCTCCCTCATGGCCATTGAGGCAGCTCCCTCATGGCCGCCATGACAGCTCCCTCATGGCTGCCATGACAGCTCCCTCATGGCCACCGCCGCAGCTCCCTCATGGCCATCAAGGCAGCTCCCTCATGGCCGCCTCTGCAGCTCCCTCATGGCCACCGNCCATGACAGCTCCCTCATGGCCACCGCCGCAGCTCCCTCATGGCCATCAAGGCAGCTCCCTCATGGCCGCCTCTGCAGCTCCCTCATGGCCACCGCCGCAGCTCCCTCATGGCCATGAAGGCAGCTCCCTCATGGCCGCCTCTGCAGCTCCCTCATGGCCACCGCCACAGCTCCCTCATGGCCATCAAGACAGCTCCCTTATGGCCACTACCACAGCTCCCTCATGGCCATCAAGGCAGCTCCATTATGGCCAAAGCTCCTTCATGGCCACTGCCGCAGCTCCCTCATGGCCACCGCCACAGCACCCTCATGGCCGCCGCTGCAGCTCCCTCCTGGCCACCGCCACAGCTCCCTCATGGCCACCAAGGCAGCTCCCTCATGTCCACCATGACAGCTCCCTCATGGCCATCAGGGCAGCTCCCTCATGGCCACCGCCGCAGCTCCCTCATGGCCACCATGGCAGCTCCCTCATGTCGGCTGCCACAGCTCCCTCACAGCCACCACCACAGCTCCCTCATGGCCACCACCACAGCTCCCTCACTGCCATCAAGACAACTCCTTCACGGCCACCGCTGCAGCTCCCTCATGGCCATCAAGGCAGCTCCCTCATGGCTGCCGCTGCATCTCCCTCATGGCCACCAAGGCAACTGCTTCATGGCCACTGAGGTAGCTCCTTCATGGCCGCCAAGGCCGCGGGCACAGAGGCGTGCGGGTTTTGGCCGAGCCGTGGCGAAGGAGCCGTTGGGCCGTGGCGCGGGCGCACGTGCGGCCGGGCGCCGCCACGGGTGCCCTGCGCGGCCTGCCCCGCTTTGCGTCCCGCGGCAAAGCTCAATCGGCACCGGGCACAATTGTGCCACATCAGCGCTGGAGCCGAGAGCCGCTCTCCGGCGCCAAGCAGCCCCGCAAGAGAGAGAAGGAGAAAACAGTCAAAGCGGAGCTGTTTTTAGCCTCCGCTCAAACGCTCGGGAACAGGCGTGAAGAGAGGCCTCCCGTCTGGAGCAGCAGGCACGGCGGCGCAGGGCCATTTTTAGCATGGAGCGAGTTTTGCTCATGATGCCTGCGGGAGGCTCGGCGGCGAGGCGAGACGTGCCGGGCTGCTCCCGGCCCGGCCCGCGGAGCCCCGCGCTGGCCTGCGGCGGTGTGTCTTGGTGGGTCCCGACTCTGCATGCACACCCTGACCCTCGCTAGCTGTGCTTGAGGGACCTGTGACAGCTCAAGGTCCCCCTGCACCCACACGGAGCTCTGCTGGCCTGTGGGGAGCTCTACCAGCCCAGAAGGAGCTTTGCTAGCCCCCAGAAGGAGCTTTGCTGGTCCCCAGAAGGAGCTTTGCTAATCCCTGGGGAGCTTTGCAGACCCAAAAGATGTTCTGCTGGCTCGGAAGGAGTTTTTCTGGCCCATGGAGAGCTTTGCTGGCCCAAACAAGGCTCTGCTGGCCCATGGGGAGTTCTGCTGGCCCAGAAGGACCTTTGCTGGTCCCCAGAAGGAGCTTTGCTAATCCCTGGGGAGCTTTGCAGACCCAAAAGATGTTCTGCTGGCTCGGAAGGAGTTTTTCTGGCCCATGGAGAGCTTTGCTGGCCCAAACAAGGCTCTGCTGGCCCATGGGGAGTTCTGCTGGTCTCCAGAAGGAGCTTTGCTGCTCCACAGGGAGCTTTGCTGGTCCAAACAGGGCTCTGCTGGCCCATGGGGAGCTCTGACGGCCCAGGAGCTTTGCTGGTCTCCAGGCAGAGCTTTGCTAGCCCAGAAGGAGCTTTGCTGGTCTCCAGACGGAGCTTTGCTGGTCCAGAAGGAATTCAGCTGGCCTATGGGGAGCTCTGCTGGCCCATGGGGAGCTTTGCTGGCCCAGAAGACACTTTGCTGGCCCACAGGGATCTCTGCTGGCCTATGGGAAGCTCTGCTGACCCATGGAGAGCTTTGCTGGCCAACAGGGAACTTTGCTGGCCCACAGCGAGCTTTGCTGGCCCACATGGAGCCTTGGCTGCCTTACAGCTTTGCTGGCCCAGGAGATCTACTGGCCCACAGGGAGCTCTGATAGCCCATGGAGACCTTTTCTTTACCAGCCCACAAAGCACATCTCCTTCTGTCCCTTTTTTCTACAGCAAAGACTGAGCTGCCCTTTGTCAGGAACATATATTTTCACGGGTAAGGAACGGCACGAACCGTGTCCAATTACCAATCAATTCCCTGACGGCAATAAATATTTCCCGTCCCGGTGAAGATCCCTGTTATCCACAGGCACTCGAAGCTCTTCTCCTGGCCCTGGCAGCAGCCTCTCCCCGCGCTCGGGGCGGGCGGCTCTAGGCACAGCCAGCTGTGAGAGTCTCTCAGCAGACGCTAATATCCCTCGAGCGCCCGGGCACCGCCGAAGGTCTCTGCCTTGGAGTGGAGACGGGAATTAAGCCCTGCTCATTTGTGACTCCTCCCGCCGCTCTGATAGGAAACGGGCTCGGAGTTTGGCGGAGCAGCTGGTCCTCGCTGAGGTCTCGCAGCCTCCCGCAGCCTCCTCCTCCCACGGTGTTTCCAACGCCTCTAACGTCTCCGGCGTGCGTCTCCTCTCCGAAGCGCCCGGAGAGCCGTGGCCGTGGTAGAAGCCACTTGTGCTTCTGGCAGCAAGGCGCTCGGAGCGGTGCGCGGTGCCACGTGCCCCTGCGGCCCTGCGGGACGGCGCCTCCGTGGCTTCTATTTTCACCTCAGCCGCGTGGTTCTGAGTCTCAGTTGTGCAGGAGCTCCGTGCAAGCGGGCCCAGCGCTTGGTGGCAGGGCTGTGGATGGGACCCTGCTGGTAGGAAGCCAGGGATGCTTGAGCGAAGCCAGATACCCACTGAGAAGGGCTGCCAACCCTGGGAGGAAACCAGGGCAGGGGCATCTGCAAAGCGTCCTGTCCAGGGCAGCGGGGTTAAGAACCTCATGAAGTTCAACCACCAAGTGCAAGGTCCTGCATCCGGGGAGGAATAACCCTATGCACTGGTACAGAGGGGCTGACCTGCAGGAGAGCAGCCCTGGGAAGAAGGACCTGGGCGTCCTGGTGGACAACAAGGCGACCATGAGCAATGTGCTTCTGTGGCCAATGAGGCCAATGGCATCCTGGGGTGCTTTAGGAGGAGCAATGCCCCCTAAAGCAGGTCGAGGGAGGTGAGCTTTGCCCTCTGCTCCACCGTGGTGAGGCCACATCTGGAGCGCTGGGGCCAATCCTGGGCTCCCTGGTACAAAAGAGACACGGAGCTGCTGGAGCGAGTCCAGCAAAGGGCTCCTCAGAGGGTGAAGGGCCTGGAGGAAAGGCTGAGAGAGCTGGGACTGCTCAGCCTGGAGAAGACTGGAGAAGAGGGGAGGTCTTTTCAATGCTTGTACATGAAGGGAGGGTGTAAGGAGCATTGGGCCGGACGCACATCAGGAGCGCACAGCGACAGGACAAGGAGTGACGGGCACAAACTGAAACAGAAGAACATGAGGAACATAACATGAGAACATGAGGAGACATGAGGAACATGAGAACATGAGGAAAAACATGAGGAACATGAGGAGAACATGAGAACTGTCTGAACATGAGGAGAAGCTTCTTGGCTGTGAGTGTGACTGAGCACTGGCTCGGTCCTCTGGCCAGGTTGTCCTGAGAGCTTGTGGAGTCTCCATCCTTGGAGATATTCCAAAGCCATCTGGAATGTCTCTGGTCCTCTGGCCAGGGTGTCCTGAGAGCTTGTGGAGTCTCCATCCTTGGAGATATTCCAAGGCCGCCTGGATGGGGCCCTGGGCAACGTGCTCTAGGTGAGGCCGTATGAACAGCAGGGTTGGACTGGATGATCTCCAGAGGTCTCTTCCAACACTGGCCGTTCTGTCTGAGGGAACTGAGCATCTGAGGGCCCTGGTTCTCTGCGTGACGTCACGGCTCTCAGGCTGTGACACCCGAGGTGGCCGTGGCAACTCGGGTCTTCTGTCAGGGGCTCCGGTGCGGGAACCGGGCCCGGGAGCTTCGTTTTGTATCCATAAAGACGGAGAAAGAGGATTTGGCGCCATGAGCCAACCGGACGAGGAGAGGAGCCTGGGGCCCGAGGACCCCGAGCTGGCCGCTGCCGACCCCGAGGAGCAGTACAAGTCCTTCTGCGCCGTCGTCATCGACATGGGCACCGGCCACACCAGGAGCGGGCTGGCCGGGGACGAGAAGCCGCGCTCGGTGGTGCCCAGCCGCGTCGGGGTGCCGGGGCAGGAGGACGAGGCCGGCCGTGCCGACGGCACCGCCATCCTCACCCACGGCGTGGTCACCGACTGGGACGGCCTGGAGACGCTGTGGCGGCGCGTCTTCTACCGCGAGCTCGCCGTGTGCCCCGAGGAGCTGGCCGTGCTGGTGACGGACGCGCCGCTGTCGCCGGCCGCCAACCGCGAGCGGGTGGCCGAGCTGCTCTTCGAGGGCTTCGGCGTGCCGGCCATGCTGGTGCTGCCCCGCTCGCTGCTGGCCGCCTACTCCTACGGCCGCACCAGCGGGCTCGTGGTGGGCTCGGGCGCCGGCACGTCCTACGCGGCGCCCATCCTGGACGGCTACGCCCTGCCCCACGCCACCTTCCGCCTGGACGTGGCCGGGGACGCGCTCACCGCCTACCTGGGGGCGCTGCGGGCCGAGAGCGGGCCGCCGCTGGGCACCGACCTGCTGTGCTACCTCAAGGAGCACTGCTGCCGCTGCCGGCTGCCCGGTGCGCCCGCGCCGCCCGCCATCGACTTCACCCTGCCCGACAAGCGCGTGGTGGCCGTGGGCGCCGAGCGCTTCCGCTGCCCCGAGGCGCTGTTCGCGCCGGGCGCCCTGGGGCTG